CTGGAGGTACTGTTTGGCTGGCAGCAGTCAATGTGTGGGTGTGTATGTGTGTGTGTGTGTGTGTGTGTGTGTGTGTGTGTGTGTGTGTGTGTGTGTGTGTGTGTGTGTGTGTTAGTATGTGTGTGTTAACCGAAGGGGTGACAGAAAGTATGTGCCAGCTCATTTCTTAGAGCCATATTTTAACAGTGGGTTCACAGCTCCAGGCCTGTGCATGAGAGTGAATGGAGCAAAGTGCAGCCAAAACATCAAGGTTTGTTTTTTCAAACTGGTGGGAACTGATCTCTTCCTCTACTATTTATCCAGATGTAAAAATAATTCTTATTATATATGCATTTGCTAGACCAAATATTTATTTTATTAGTCAGAGAAAACTGACATATTTATCTAGGAAGAAATTAAGGTCTTAAATATTCCAAAATCTTTCAAGGCTACTTCATCTTATCTTCAATTATGAGGAACTGCAAGTAATTTTGGCACTCTTGACATTCCCTCATATTTGTCATAGGTCTTAAAGTCCTAAATACAACTTTTTGATACGTACAAACCGTGAAATATGCTATTAATTACTTTTTGTATGTGCTGCAGGTATAACGGAGGTGCTGAAGAGCATGCAGGAACTTGGCGTGTCCCCGGACGCTGAGACTTTGTCCATCTACATCCTCCCTGCCTTCCCCAGCACAGAGGCAGCTCGACAGGCGCTCACGGTAATCCATAAGTGTGTGTGTGTTTGAATGTAATGTGATTCAAATTTATTTTGTTTTCTGTTAGTTTATTGATTTTAATTTCATTCAACTTAGGATGCTGGCATCCCTCTGGACACTGAGAACTTCTTGACTTTAGAGGTTCGCGCCTTGGCAGTGAGCGACTTGGCAAAACTCTACACCCTATGTAAGCACGCACACACACACATACACGCACACACACCACTGCATCTCGAGCTCCCATCATTATAAAAATCGCTGCTATGCCTGCGGGCTAATTGGGCCAGCGTCAACACACACAGAAGAATTTTCAGCTTTCCTTCATACATTTCCCCTCGTACCCGTCTGTGCTCATCAGGCCTTTTAAGAGATTAGCCTGTGTGAATATGTAAAGAGCGAGAAATGAGAGGTGCCTGAACCGGCAGAGGGATGGGATCAAGAAGTATTCTAAATAATGTATGATTCTTCTTGTTTTCTGTCTTTCATCTCGTTTTAGTCTCAAACATCCAGCTCTGGTTTTCACATACATTGCTCTCCTTCGTCTTCATGTTTTTCAGTGTCCTGATGGATTTTTAATTTTTTTTTTCCTGATGAAAGTCCTTCTCCTTGCTGTACAGTATTACCGGAAACACAGAAAGCTTCCTTCAAACTGTTAATCAAGCAAAGAAATTCCAGACCTTTGCTGCTTTCACTTTCTTAGATTGAAAGAATTCACGGCTTCCCTTTCGGTTTTAAACTGTTTTAAATTGAACGTGTTTGGCTTTTCAGACTTTTGCTCACAAAAATAATTCAAAGTCGTGTCCTTGGACACTAGAACTGGAATTATTTCACAATTACTTTCTGCCCAGGGTCCCTCATACCAGATATAAAAAAGAATTTGTAGAATAATCAATAATGAAAATTGAGTGCAGCCCTGGAAATCTTTAGGAACTTTAAACTCTTGTGGTTTTCAGAGTGCTGGTTTAGGAAACAGGCATTTCAGATACTACAGAACTACCTTTTGTGGGTTTTTTGAGCAAAGATTTTACTTTTATTCTGGTTGGGCTGCACAGTCGGCAACAATAGAGGCCTTAAGTCAAACTGGAAATTACCCAGAAGTGAATGCGTTAACAAAGTGTGGCGCAGGATGATGCTGAAAATTCACTAGATATAAGTAAAATTATTCTTGCTCAACTTAATGTTTGCCAGCATCACCAAAGTTCCATACAACACATATCAGCGTTTCCAAGGGAATTCCTTCGATCTATGGCGGTATGTAAGTGCACGAACACGGCTCTCACGTGGCAAGGGATTCTGAGTGACAGGGTACACACACTTGATGACAAGACAAGTTCTTGCATGTATTCTGTATGTGCACAACTGCTGCTTGAAACTATGAGGTGTGACTGTCTTTGTGGATGGTAACAACAATAGGTTCATTATGAAACTGTGGCAGGACGAATTAGAATCTGGAAGGCAGCCGAAGTTTATGTGATTGATGGGAAACACTGCGTATACAGTAATCACATCATAAACCACATTACTCAGGACACATGAAGACAAGTTGTTTCAGGCTTTTCTCTTTATTTGCCTGTAATCTTTTTCTGTCTGTCTTCATTTCCAGTGTCAGATCCGTCCTTCCCCCCGTTGGACCATAACCACTTCCGCAGCAGCCTCATCCTGGGCTTCAGAAAGTGAGTCAATTAGCCCGTAGTCTGCTCATATTCTCCATCATTTGATATTCCATATTTCTCCATATTTTGCCTCATAACTCTTGACTGGCATTTTAGGGAGGCCTGTAGCACTATTGGAGGTCACTGCGGCATATGCTATGAATATGACATGTGCAGCATATCACACCATCTACAGCGTGGATGTGTATGGGCAGCTGTGGGGAAAACACTACATCTCACACACACACATGCACACACGCACACACACACACACACACACACACGGGTGCCTCATGCATATGGAGGCCTTCATCCCTCAGCTCTCGCCCCAAAGCACCGTGGGAGATATGTAAATTAGCAGATGCCCACCACTGCCCCTTATACCCAGACCACACACACACACACACACACACACACACACACATAGTTTGCCTTAGGACCACAGTCTGACCTGTGGGCTTCTGTTGAAATGGGTGTTTATGAATATTTACAGTTTAACACCACATGTCCACACAAAAACATTGGGGTCCCTGAGCGAAGCTGGAGGTGAGTCAAAGGGAAAAGTGCTGACCTGTCTGCAGGGACCAAAGTATTTCTTCCACTTAAAAACAAGAACGTGCTCAGTTTAGCTCAACTTTGAATTTTTCAGTCGGTCCATAAATTCCATGTCGTAGCTGATTGGAAACTAAACTGTGGATGTTAAAAATTAAACTCACATAATGGATGAAATAAAGATAATGGG